TTAGTTTAGTTTAGTTTTGTTTTTTGGCATGGCTTTCTGTATATGAAATCCAGGATAGCTAAATCTATAAAGACAGTAATTGGATTAATGGTTTCTTTTGGGGGTAAGGTGGGGGAGGTTGGAGAGCTAAAAGCAATGAGTACAAGAAAGAAGAAAATACTGTAAAATTATGGTGATGATTGTATAACTCTTCTTAATATGATCAAGCTATTGAATTGTATGATGTGTGAATTATATCCCAGTAAAATGGTTTTTAAAAATTCAGTAAAAACAAAAATAAATGAAACAGAAGCAAAATTTCATTGAAAATGTTATAATATTACCATGAAACACTTAGAATTATTACATAAAATATTTTAAATAGCAAACAGAATTATGAGCAATGTACTTCAGAAACTAATTATATATTACTTTAAAATTGCAAATACAAATTAATCTCTTCAGAAAGAGAACAGTTGTCTTATTATGGGTGAAAAAAGTGTCACTTACTAACAATAGATGTGAAATAACTTTAATTCCTTCTTCTCGGAGATAATCCACAGTCCTTGATTTTTCTTGCTCAGAAACTTGCCAGACTCCAGACACCAGACCAATGAGCTTCAACATCAATTCTCTGTCAGTCACAAACCTCTCAAGTAACTGGCTTCGAGCCAGGAGTGCCCACATGTATTTGATGATGAGACTCCCACTCCTGAAGGTTAACTATATGAAAAGATGTAAGTAATCCATTTCATCAGACAGGATGCTCAGACTCATACTTTTCATTTGGGGGATTAAGAAGAAAGTTGATTGTTTTTTTTTTTTTTACATTACTGAGATAGGGTTCAAGAGAACTGGGTTCAAGTCCAGGTTTGTCTTTAGCAGGCATATATTATTGGCCAACACCAGATATCAGTCTGCTCTTGGTTATTCAGCTTCCTGATCCATAAATGATCAAAATTAAATTATGTCTATCAGGAGTCTTTGTATTTTAAAACATTATTTCGTTTGAACTCTAACAAGTTCAAAAACTGGCCCCATCCTATTTTACAGCATTCTCTTTTCCCACTACCCATAACCATTCCAAAGTCACACTGAACGTCTCTATTTTCATGTAATCAAGGTCTCTACCATGGAAGTATGGGGGCATTGTGTGTTAGTCGCTGCTAAGCATCAAGGCCAACATTTCCAACCCCTAGTAGCTCTGAGGGAGAAGGATCGGGCTGTCTGCTACAGAAAAGGGTTACAGTCTTGGGAATCCTCTGCAGGATCACTGAACATTGGAATTAACTTAATGGCAGTGGTCTCACTGGAGGTTTGGGTATGCATGATACCATAGATATTCCGTCTTCCTGGAATACTTGTATGCTGTCTTTCCTTAGAAAAATTAATCTCTGTCTCTTAAAAGTCAATATGGATCATTTTCAAACATAGAAAAAAGTAGCATAGTAGTGTGATGTCCTCATTACCAATATTAACAATCATTCTTCATTGGTAATATTTTTTTCTTCTAAACCCCATTTGAATGTGAAAATACTAATATGCCAAAACAAGTGTCAGGCATAATTTCTGTCTAGGAATACTTTAGTATAGGTCACCAACTAAAAGTCTGCCCCCAATGCCATTACTATTCCAAACAAATTGAGAAGGTTTCATTACAACTAGTCTTTTAAAACCACCTACAAATACCCAGCAGACCGTTAGTGTCTGTTGTTTGTGTTTCTTCAGAATTTTGGTAGTCACTTAATGATGGGACTTAGCACATTTATTAAAGTATATCTATTTAGCTTTTTTCACCAGTTCCTTGAAGACAGGGATGAATAATTTTCCTCTTTTTGGCTTTTAACCACTGGTTGAAATCAAATCAGTGCTGACTTCAGGCAACCCCATGTTGTCAAAAGAGCAATGTGCTCCATAGGTTTTCCCATGCTGTGACCCTTCAGCAGAAGCTTACCATATCTTCCACCTGAGACACCTCTGGGGGGATCTGAACTGTCAAACTTTGGGTTAATAGCTGATCACATTAACTAAACCATCACTCTTTTAGTAGCTTCTCACTCACTGCCATTGAGTCAATTCTGACTCCTGGTGACCCTGTGGGACAGAGGAGGACTGCCCCTGTGAGTCTCCAAGACTAAGTCTTTACAGGAGTAAAAAGCCTCCTGTTTCTCTTGAGAAGTAGTTGGTGGTTTTGAACTGCTGACCTTGTGGTTAGCAGCTCAACATGTAACCCAGTACTCCACCAGATCCTCCTTAGTAGGTCCTAAATAATGTCCAACCAAATGATCTTTGTTGTTACTTCTAACACCTGGCAAACCCATTTGTGTCGCAACACAAAGGTGCTCTACAAGCTTTCGGGCCTGGGACTTTTCAGAAACAGATCCCCAAGGCTGCCTCTAATGGACACGAACCACCAACTTCTCAGCTAGTATTCTACCCACGAAGGACTCAAAGGATATGCAAGTGAAGTGTAGATTCTGTTTTCTGATATTCATGTTTATTTGACAAACACGTACCTTCAAAATACCTTCTAAAATCAAGCTCTTTCAACAATAAAATTCAATTATTAGTAAAACTAATTTTAAAAGCCCTATGCGTGAAGAGGACTCAAAACTTCAAGAATGAACTTTTATACAAAAAACGGAACAAGCCCCTTGAAAACACAGAATGCTTACTTTTCACACTGGTTATTATATGTCAATCAAAAATCTTTTAGGATGACTTCTAGAAAGCGTCATGTTCAGTTTTGCCTGCCCCTTTGAAAGGGAGCCCTGGTGGCAAGGTCAGCAGTTTGAGCCCACCAGCCTCCCCTAGAAGAAAGGCAGGGCTTTCTACACCTGTAAAGAGCTACGTCTCATCATCCCGCAGGGCAGTTCCACCTTTTCCTATAAAGTCTTCATGAGTCGGCATCTATTTGATGGCAGGGTGGGGTGGGGAAGGGAGTGGGGGCATTGAATAAAGAGCTGTGACTTAGCCTGGGATCAGAGATACATAAGGCAGGAATTTGGGGGAGAGCTGTCTGGCTACCCACCAGCTTCATTCTCCTAACTCCTTCTCTTAGGTCTTTGATAGGAAGTGAACCCTTTCTCCCAAATCTCTTTGAATTCAGGTAGCCCTGTTTACCAGTGGGAGGCAGGTGAAGTATTTATGTCACTGGGAGACAACACTTTCAACAAGCTAGTGCAATTTCCGCATGCTCTATTTCCTCAATTTAGGAATCCCCGCAGGAGAGGCGAGATTGAAAGCAGCCTGAATCCCTGAATCACTAGGTAGAAGACACCTCACCAAATAGCTATATTCAGATAGGAAACAAACTTCTGCTGTACTGTGGAGTGTGGTAGTTAGAGATTATGTCGCCTGGACCCTCCTGGCTAGGCATAGAGTCAACCCTGTCAATCAAGAAACAGCCTGATGACACTTCCTGGATGTTTTCTCCTGTTTGCCTGAGAGAACAGCACCCTGGGAACTGATCTCTCTGTGTCCCTTCAGCTTCCTGCTTCTTGGGACTCCGTTGAGAACCTGGGAGCTGTCTGTGTTCTCCTATGTGTGCACCAACTTTGGATCCACGTGATTCTGCGCCCACCGGCCTGTGGTCTTTCTGAGTCACAGTTCACACTTCCGTGTCACTGGCATGTGGCAATGTGAGTCTGCAGGAGGGATTTATAGGCTGATATCAAGCTTGAGTTGAACTGGGCTGGGATGCCTTCTTGACAGAAAGCTTTCTCTTGTACATCGGTAACTGTCACTGGAGGTGTTTCTCTAGACACCCCCCTAACACACGGAACCGAGGTGGCACCATGACTGTAGCATTAGGAGACTAACCCACAGGTTGACCGCTCAATCCCACCAAGTTCTCTCGGGGATAAAGCTGATCCTTAAAGATTTATAGTCTCAGAGAGTCTACGAAGCAATTCCATCCTGTACTATTGAAAAAAAAATTAAGACAGTGCGATTTTAGAGTTTTTCTGTTATAACTGTCCGCATTACTTTAACTAGTGTGTGTGATCTATAGAAATGAAGTATTATACAGCTGAAATATAGATGTCCAAAATTCAATGATAAATCAAAGGTGGGAAAGCCCTTTAATAACCAAACCAAACCAAACCAAACCAAACTCCCTGTCATAAAGTCGATGCAGACTCAGAATGGCCCTATAGGACAGGGTAGACACCTTTCTTCCATGGAATAGTTGGTGATTTTGAACTGCTGACCATGCAGTTAGCAGCCCAACACATAACCACATGCTACCAGGGCTCCTACTCACTTTAACAAAGCCATGGACAATGTCTCTAGAATAAACAGAACATTGCTTTCGAGCCTCTGTGGAGAGTCCATGTAGAAGTTGCCGTTTGAATCTAGCCTTAACTGAAAATATTTCACCCCTAGTGAAATAAAGTGTAAAATTACTCTAGGCTTAAGGGAAAATGTGCTACTTTGAAGATGCCTGAGAAGACACCATATGTTTGGACGTAAGGAACATTCGGAGGGACTGAAAAATGGGAGATCATTATGTTGGTAGATATACAAGACCTAATAAAGAGAGTAGGTTGTAGCCAATTTTGTATGATAAACTGAAGAACTGAATTGTATCCTCAAAGGATAAGGGAGTTATCAAGTATTTTTAGAGTAAAAGAAAGGTGGGACCAAATGCGTTTCTAATGAGGTTAGTTCTGGCGCGGAGAGGAGGATGTGGTGCAAAGAGAAGATTGTCTTCCTATTGATCTATTGTAATAGGTTATTGTAATAGCACAAGCATAAGATAATGGAGATACAAATCAAGGCAAGAGTTGGGAAGGAAGTGGCAGGGTCAACTGTATAGTCAGTCAGTCATTCATTCGGTCACATCTATCCGCTGCACTGCTGCTGTGTGTCACAAGTGATATTATGTGGTGAGCAGGAATGAGAGGCCCTTTGCATCATGGAGTGTATATTCCAGTGAGGAAGACGGGCAAAAAAAAAAGAAATAAGATAGTGTGAAAATATCAAAGAAGAGATATGAGGTATGAGGAGGTACAGAGGCATTGTATTATTTAATGTATCTCTTCTAACCAGCGTCTAACTGGGCAAAAAAAAAAGAAGTAAGATAGTGTGAAAATATCAAAGAAGAGATATGAGGTATGAGGAGGTATGAGAGGCATTGTATTATTTAATGTATCTCTTCTAACCAGCGTCTAACTCCCAAAGAACGACCCTTCCTGACATGGGTCTGGTAATATGCTGGTGGTGGTGGTGGTCAGATACTGAAATGATTCACCTGCGAGAGATTGCAGACAGGACTCCTTGATCCTGCTATGTTTACAATGAGCCCTCTGAGAAGCAGAGGGACGGAGCTTATGTATTAATAGAACCAGGGGCGGGGTGTATACCCTGGACCGAGACCCTTGAGCCGGGCACATCCGGAATCCAGATCTAACATCTCTTGATCAACAACTAATCTGAGTATCTGTCACTGGCACTAAAATTTGCTAACTTCCTTAGCCCAACTCTCATTACCACAGAGCCAATGCTGTCCCATAGCACCCCCTGCTGTGCGTTTCGGAGAGTGTAACTGTTTACGAAAGTGGAGAACCCAGTCTTTCTCTAGCGGAGCTGCTGGTGATTTGTAATTGCCGACCTTGCAGACCACATCCCAACACGTGTACCCACTCCACTACCACGGTTTCCTCCTGCTCTTTTATCCCGAATTCTGTCTGTGAGTTGTTCGGGAGTCATTGCAATGGTATGAGATTCTAATAATTAGCACCTAGCTCCTCTTCTCTCCTCTCACTGCCATCGAGTCGATGGTGACTCATAGCCATCCTATAGCACAGTGTGGACCTGCCTCTGTGACTTTCCCAGACTCTGCTTCTGCCTAGGAGTAGAAATCCCTGTTTCTCCAGAGGAGCAGCTGCTGGTTTCAAACTGCTGACCTTGCCGTTAGCAGACAACTCGTCAAACCACTATGCCACCAGGTCTCTCAAGAGGGAAATTACAGAACATGAATTAATTGGAATTGAATTAAGTGGAATTGGCATCAGAAGGGTGATTGGTTGCAATGGCTCCAGAATCTTAGAAGTATGGTTTTTGTTTTGTATTTTAAGAGACAGAAGTAAATAGGCATGAATGTCACCTCCTGAGAATGGCTATTTTGGATCTTGTTACTTGTAACAGATATAAGGAGTGATATGCTGCAGCTGGGAAGAAAACAGCTGCTTCTGTAGTGGCCTGGGGCTCGGGGGGTGGTGGGGTGGGAGCCTGGGTGATTAAATTTAATAGGAGAGCATTCCCTCCCTGGAACCATTCTGCCCAGAGATTATTGTGTTAGGTATTATTTAAAAGACTAAGGAGCTATCTGCTTATTTGGCTTCACAATTGATCCTCAATATTTCTCCAGTCTGGTGTTGTAATAGGGGAAATCAACCATGATGACAAGAAACTAATCATGATTGGAAGAGCTTGTTAGTCTGCCGTCAGCCTGTATTTGACTCGGTATGCTAAAAGGAGAGTTTAGAATTGCCATGAAAACATGAGTCTTTCCTTCTTTCTTTTTCTTTTTTTCTTTGAAGCCGTGGTGGAGTTAAGGGACTAAGAAAGAAAACTTGAAGCCCAGCCAGAACTGTTGAGAAAACAGGCATTTTAAATTTGAAGGGAAGAACCCACTGAGAAAAAGCCTGTTTGGCTTGTGAACATTTTGAGCATGGACTTTGCCACTGGAGGCATCAAAGCAGGAAGGTCAGTGTCCACTTCTCGGGCTGAAAGGGAGAGAGTGATGAGCTTGGTGTGCTCCTTGGGGCAACCACTTGGATCCACTTCCTGCATGACGGTTGCGGGGGGGTGGGGGGGCTTATATGGATATGTCTCACTGGTACCCAGTGACGTGCTCCACTGGGGCTAATGATGGGAGAAGAGGAAGGGCTGGCTGATCTGATGTTTAAAAAGTTGTGTGAGTATTGAGCTTTTGAGTAAGAATTAGTCCCAGTGGCCAGCTATACTGAAGTGTAGAAAGGTGTATTGGGACTGCCAAAGCTTCCAGCTGGTACCAGTTGACGTAGCATGGATGGCTAGGACTGACTAAATGAAGAGAAAGATGCTCGACTTTGAGAGCTGGTGTACATTGCCGCAGGTATGATGATTGGCCTGCTTTCAACTGAGTGTTTCTTATGCATACAGATGGCCAGAGATCCAACCATAAATGAACACTCATCACATCAAGCCTCAGTATTGGGTTGTTAGGAACAGGCCATTTAGAACATGTATATTCCAAGTGGAAGAAGATAAATGCTTGAAGTGGCTGACAAACTCTTAAGGCTAGGTCTAAAATTAAAGGAAAAAAAAATTGGAAGACAGGGCCAGAGTTAATCCTTCAACATGAAAGGGACAATGGCTAGAAGAGCCAGGGGGTGACCTAGAGTGGCTGTGATTTATTTAATGTGACTCTTCTATCCCAAACCTCCAACTCCCACCAAATTGACTCCTCGTGGGTCTGTTAGGAAGCTGGGGGAAGATAGGATTCACCGGTGTGTAATTGCAAACAGAATTCCCTGGAGTGCCATCCTGCTGGGTATAAAATGACCCCTCTGAGAAGCAAGAAGATGGATCTAATTACCAGCTAGTACCAGGAGTAAAGTGCACTCTCTAACGTGCAGTAACTCTCCTGAATCCAGGTGACAGTTACACAATCACAGGAGCAGCAGCAGAACCAGCAGCCAGAGCATGGCATGGAGTGATGGACTTCCTAACCCACTTAGCAAGTTAAGAGGAGTGCTTCTGGGCAGGACACTGACTTACAAAGTGGGGTTCCTGTGGCCACTTAATTGGAGAGGTTGGGCTTTCTGACCCACCGAAGTGGCGTGGAATGCCTTCAGACTGAGGCTTACTAGGCTGTGGTTCCTCCAGGGAACTGGGATGCTGACCCACGGAGCTTGAGTGGAATGTGTTTGGGTTAAGGCTTTTAACAGAGTGGTATAGCCTCTTTGACATGAATAGCAGACCTGAAGCTGCTTCGCCTGCCCTGGCCATCAAACAGCCTGAGCATTCTTCTTTAATAAACCCTTTAATAATGAATTTTCTTTCTGTGAAAATCTATGAAGACATTGCAATGAATATTAGAACCCCGGTATAAATTATAGAACATTTAATTGTGTTGGTATAGGAGAAAAGGCATCTTTAGATGGTGAACCAATGATGACTTTTCTGCAATACACCATTTTAGCTGAGAAAGGAATGATAGATGTTAGCTATAAAAGGAGTCCTAAGGAGAGTTTACCAAAGGAGGGGGGAAAAGCACCATGGCTCTGAACCAGGTGTGTGGAGGACGGTTAGAAGGGAGAAGCAAGAACAACATAGGAGAAAAGGACTGGAAGATGGAAGCAAATCATGCATTCAATGATACATTGTTGGAATTTTACCATAAGTGTGATGAGAAGCCAAGGGTGTTAAAACAGGAAGCAACATTAGCTGATTCAAATGTTTACAATTGCCCTTCTGCTTTCTGTACGTTGTTATTATGAGGTGGCAAGAAAAGAGGCAAAGATGAGAAATGATGTTTCCTTCAATTAGTGTAGGGAATAATCGAGAAGGAGGGATCGTTTGGATACATTTTGTTGAGGAAAATTGCAAAAGCGTAGATAACCCCTGACTTTGCACTTGAGATTCTGAAGGGAAGGGGTGCTCCTGCCTAAAGTGGAGAAAATAGAGATGGGATTTGACAGGGCAGGTTGCAAGTGTGGCCTAAGGAGTTGGGATGCACATAATCATAAAGATGGGTAGTTGGATCTATCTGAGGCAAAAGCTCTGGGGACAATCACGCATTAAAGACCTAAATTCATGTAAAGAGATCACTTCAAGGAGACCCAAGACAAAATCCTGACAGCCTCCACTTTGAAATGGCAGGGAGAGGAGGAGTGGCTAAACAGGTCAAATGAAAGAAACTGGGAAACGAGTGTCGGAAAACCAAGACAAGAGCAGTGCTACCAGAAGGAAAATGGGCATTCCATGGAACGCCACTGAAAGAGGAAGAGGAGCGAGATGGCTGTCAGTGAATTTGGAAACACAGCCCTTCAATGACTTTGGTAGGAGCAGAGCAGTGTTAGTGTCCAGATGGAGATGGAAACAAGATGTTGATAGTTTCAACGTACATGAGAAAGAGCAAGTATAGGCGAGGCAAGGACAAGACCTACTTTATAAATATTTTTGTTGTAAGGAAGAGCAGAGAAACAAGATGGGCCTCTGAGAGTGTTGCTTTTTGTTTTTTAAGAAGAGAGATGGTAAACATGTTGATGATCATGTAAGCAGAGAGGACTAAATGGAAGATACATGAAGGAGATTGGAAACTAAAGGAGGAATGTTCTGGAGAAGGCAAAATGGGATAAGAGGTAGAACCAACACTTAGAGCCACACAGCCTAAGTGCTGCACAACTTGAGTCAGACAGACGGAGCTGAGGTGCAATGACATGGTCTAGGTGAAATGCTGAACACCAGTGGAGAGCCAGGTTCTTGCTGGGAGCAGGGGAACCCCTTCTCTGACGGCAGCGTATGGCTGTGGAAACAGCTGTGGCTGTAGTTGGCCTGGCAGGTTGATGGGCGATGACTCAGAGCCACGCAGTGAGAAGATGGCATGAAGGGGGCGTAAGAGAATGGTGCTAAAGATGTGACGAGAAAGAAATTATGAAACAAGACAATTCAATACCAGGAGTTAATAATAAAGGACATTCCCTTTCTAAACTTATGTAGACACCATGTTTTTATTCATTTCTATTTTGAGGTTTCAGTCTTGTACATTAGAAAAGGAATTCACCAGTGATTTGAGATGGGCAGGGCCAGTCAGATCAATTGTTTGGAGAATGTCTATTTCTAATCTAAGTTTCACAGCATGACTTTCATAACATATTCTTGAAAAATGAATTAGTGTCCTCCTAATCATACAAAAAGGCAGAAAAATACACTGGGAGAAAACTAGAACTCACCTCATTAGGGAAGCTTATGAGATCTCGCAGCATAAGGACGGAATCGATGATTTCTTCCTGAGCAGGAGATGCAATCAAAAAGAGAAGGGGTGGTGGGAGGGGGCAGGGAGGGGAGGAAAGTTAGCTTACTACTTTAGTTCAAAGCTATATCATATAGAGCTTGCTATTATAGAAATAAATGAGAAGCCATGCTTCTCACATCATTGAGTCACTTCTGATCCACAGTGACCAGATAGAATGGGGCAGAACGGCCCCTGGGGGTTTCCAAGACCAACCTTTCACAGGAGCTGGCATTCTGTAGGTAGGCCGATATTTTGACCTCTTGTTTACACTACTGTTCTAGTGTCGGCCCCTTTATGTCCTGTCACCACACACCCAGGCAATTGGCCCAAGTAAAGGGGATTGAATTCAGTGACATTTTCAAAAAGACCCATGGAGAATGATGGAGGCAGTAAACATGTTAGTTCAAAACAATGAAGAAAGAGAAGTGCCGGAAATGGTTAAATGACACCGTGATTTAGAAATGTGGGCATTTCTTTTAAAATGTCACATGCTTATGAAATGGATTTTGTGAAATGTTTCTGGTATGAAGACAAAATCAGATTCGATTTTAATAATTATAGCAATTTTAGCAGAATGATTAGTTGTTATGATTATAGTCAATCAGTCTATCTCTGTTATACATCGGTAGCTTTCATTTGTGAAACACAGAAACAGGATGGAGCGGACACAGCCACTTAGCAAAACCAAACTGACTGGGTTACTGGTCTTATTTTTGACTTTGTTTTTTGAAGCATAACTTCTTGACAGCGAGCCAACCAGTCATAGGCCCTCTTCTACTGAACAAGCCCAGAAGCATTCATCGCACACTGTTCTGGGCCCTACCTGATCAACAAAATCTAGTTTGAATACTGAAGAAATGAATGCATCCTGTATTGCTGACCAGTGGCCACATGAGGGGCCTCTGCCCTCCTTGGCCAAACGACTCAGAATCCTGGTGATCATGATGATGTAGTTCCTGGTTTCCGTGAAACTCCTCGTCCGCTGGAGGGCAGATAGGTTTTTCAAACTGGAATTATATCTGAAAAAAAAAAAAAACCCATAACGTTTGTATTTTCAGGACAGCTCCTGCACCAGGGTGACTACAATGCCTAAGCAGATTTTTCAACTATAATCTCAGGAGACGCTTATTTTTTCCATGTACAACCTACACGAAATAATCACGGAGCTGTTAAGAACAAAGATGTGGTCAGGTAACCGTTGCTGTAGTTGGATAGCTTGTAGGGAAAAGGGCGAGGCAAACATTGTGGGGGATATGAATGAACCATAGAACAAAGACCTTCGGAGCAATAGGATGGAAGAGAGACTCTGAGACAGATCAAGAAAGCACTCATTTCTCCTGCCTCCTGTTGCAGTATTCTATCCAGCTACTTGGAGCAGCACTGGAATGGGAGCAAGAAGACAGAGCAAAGAATGACATAGAAGCATTGTGGCAAATGAATGTGGTCTAGACTCAGACAAAGATATGACTGTAGCTGACCACAAGTTCCTGAAGCCGGCAGGCAGTACCGAAACCTGTAATAGATTTGATATCTCAATGTGCTTACAGTTTGAATATAAACTCCCACTTATAGTCACTGGCCATTTATTTATTTATTCATTGAATTGTTTGTTTAAAACCTTGCATTATGTCACTTATTTGGACATGGAAGGGAATCAGGATATAGTGTAAGGCGTCTTGTTTGTGAAGCCACTTTCTCTTTTCAATTTCCTTGCTGTCTGGCCTTAATAACAGTAAGTAATTAAACAACTGAGCTTCAGTTTCTCAACGATGGATAATGACTGTATGAGGACAAAAGTTTGGGGATGAGGGAATGTTCTAAAATTAGACTATGGTGAGGATTGCATAGCTCTGCAAACATACTAAAGCTACTTTGAATGGGCGAACCATATGCTATGTAAATAGCATCTTAAAGTTGTAAAACGGAAGAAGAAAGGGTTTTGGAAGCATATTCACAAATACGCTAGAAACACCAGTTACTAGGAGAAGAGTGGTAAACCCATATTTTTTTTTTTTCTTATTCTGAGTCTCAGCCACTCTTTCACCACCGTGTGGCCAGTTTGGGAAAGAGCTATCTGGGAGCAATTAAGCCTGCTCCAGGATGCAGCGCTGTGCCATTGCATTACTCACAGATCCTCGCTTGGGCAAGAATCGGCCGGGGTTGCATTCTCGTGGAAACGAGGCAGCACGGTCACTGCCACCACACAAGGCTGCGACTTGGATCCTTCCCCATCTGTGATCTCAGTGGAAACCATGACTGTAAGAAAGCATGGCAGAACAGAACCATTCAGGACATATGGACCGCAGGAACGTTTCTTTGTATAGATGCCAATTAGACAGCATGTAAGGATGAGCTCAGCTCTGGCACAGCTAAGGGTGAGATAAAATTGCAAGCTGCGTTCCCTTCCAATTTCTTACACTCGGGATACCATAAAATCAATAAATTGAACTCATATTGAGTAGATCTATGTGCCCAGATTAGCGAAGGGGAGATGATAGAAGGGATATTAATTTAAAAAAAAAAAAAAAAGCAAGGCCTGAGTTGAACTTAAGGTTATTCCATCGGCCTAAGGGAACGAACATATAGGCATAAAAAATAAAACAGTTCAACAGTTCCAGATATTGAGTGCCAAACAGATTGGAGTAGACTGCAGGTATTCCAAGAACGAGAAGTAGAGGAGACCATTGTTTGCTGCGTTAGGAAATGAGTCTTCATTCCAAGGCTCTCATCCGCGCATTCATTGGACCAGCAAAAGACTGCTGCTGAGATGTCACAGGTGACAAGGATCAGTGTGCCTGCAAGCACTTCTGTGTGTTCATTATTGGAATAATACTAAAGATGTGAAGAATGCCAACATAGACGTAAGGAGACCATGAAACCCACAAAGAATAAACTATCAATTCCTAGTTTGTTGCACAGTCCCTCAGGTCTTAAAGGTTTCCAAGGGGGCACCTAAGATTCAACAATTGGTCTCTGCTCACCTGGAGCAACAGAGAAAGAGGGAGAACCAGGACAGAAAGAGGAAATGAATTGGGTGGCTAATGCTTCCAGGGTTCATGAAGGAGGGGGGAGTGGCGTGGGAGGGGGGAAAATGAGGAGCTGATATCAAGGGCTCAAGTAGAAAGCAAATGTTTTGAGAATGATGATGGCAACAAGTGTACAAATGTGCTGGACACACTGGATGGATGGATGGATTTTGATACGAGCTGTACAAGCCCCCAATAAAATGATTTAATTAAAAAAAAACTACCTCTTTTTTCCAGAGCTGGATAGCCCCTGGCTATTACTACTGAGAATTTTGAACCACATTCTGTAGATGAATTCTGATGAAAAAGAGGAAAATGTAGAAGACAATTCCAAGATGTCCTGGACTCTAGACTTCCTCGAGTCATGAAGATTGAACGAACCGCTGAAACTATTGCTCTGGGGTAAACTTTAAGCCTTAAACCAAAAATATTCAAATAATATTTTAGCTAAACTACTAAATGTTGAGGATATGTGTTAACAAAGGATTGTCCAATCAGCAGTTTCTAAATTCATAAGTCATTGACATTGATAACATCCTTCTATTTGTGTAACAATCCTTATTCTCTTTGTCTTATTTGTTTCTCTTCAATTAACCCAAACTAACTATCCCTTAAGTCTTTGGAATTGCTGTTGTCAAGTTGATCCTAGGTAGATATTTCTTGACATGGAGTAGACTGCCTTCTTAAATACAGACCTTGGATTCATTCACCTCTGCGGCTATAATCCTGACCTCTTGGCCTTGGATTAATTACCTATGTAGCCAGAAGCCTACCATATTCCTGCCCATCTTGGGCTCATCAACCCCTGCAGCTACATGAGTCAGGAGAAGACTACAGCCTAACATCTTACCCAGGGGCTGTGAGCTTGCCAGTCTACACTTTGTGGGCCATTTCCTTGATATAAACCCCTCCATATATAATCATAGGCAGGCCTCACTGATTTTGCTTCTCTAGAGAATTCAGTGTAAGAAACGGTATTAATGGTATTATTTGGTTATTTCCTCATTCTGTTGGCCCACATTTCTTTGGAATGGGCACAGATATGATTCCCTTAGCTCAGTAACTCTAGCTAGGCAACAATGAAAGTGCTACCAAAGTTACATTCATTTGTGTGATTACCTAAATTGGCATTTAGTCAATTCTTGGAGGATTGCTTTTCACCAATGCTGTCAGTACAGGGTGGACTTTTTCCTTTAGTACCATTGGGTCTTGATCAATGTTCTAAATCCTTCTTGAATTGGTTGATATTGATGTTATTGGTACAGTAACTCTGTGTATTCCTTTTCTTATTTTCTGCATTATTCCCACCAGAGATTCCATCAATATTTCAACTCAAGGCTTTGATTTTTCTGTTTTTCAGCTTAAGAAGTAACAAATGGCATAGCACCATTGAAATATATAACTTTCCTCTAGTTCTTTAATGCTTCCTCCCCCTCCCCCCACTATCATAATCCTAATTCTACCTTAAAAATCTGGGTAGAACAGAGCATATGCGTGAGTATAGCTAAGAGCTGGAAACACAGGGAATCCAGGACAGATAAACTCCTCAGGACCAATATTGAGAGTAGCCATACCAGGAGGGGAAGGGGAAGGTGAGGGGAGATAGGGGGAACCGATTACAATGATCTACATATAACCCCCTCCCAGAGGGACAGACAAAAGTGGGTGAAGGGAGACACCAGTAAGTGGGTGAAGGGAGACATTGATCAGTGTTAGACATGAAAAAATAATAATAACTTATAAATTATCAAAGGTTCAACAGGGAGGGTGGGGGAAGGTGGGGGATGAGAAGCTGATACCAAGGGCTCAAGTAGAAAGCAAATGTTTTGAAAATGATGATGGCACCAAATGTACAAATGTGCTTAACCCAATGCATGGTTGTATGGATTGTGATAAAAGTTGTATGAGCCCCCCATAAAATGATTTAAAAAAAAAGAAATGACAAATGTCTTATTCCCTTTTGTTTTTCTAAATCCATGTATTTGCACATTTCATGATAATATTTTACTCTGCCTTGTCTAAGCTTTTACTTCCTCATTTCTTCTGTTTGGTTTAACTACTCAACACCCAGAGGAAAGTTTAGGAGTCTTTTCTGACATCTCCCTTTTATTTCTTTCCTGTCTGTTTAACGGCCTCTTAGTTTCCTCAGGAAAGGTGTGTGTTCTGTGTGTACCTTCTCACTACACTTACTTAATATGTATGCTGAGCAAATCACCCAAGAAGCTGGACTGTATGTAAAGAAGAACGCAGCATCAGGACTGGAAGAAGGAACCTGTGATGAAGATGACAAGACCTTATGTGCTAGTTACATAATCTGATGTCAGTTTGAGACTTGAGAGGATTAAGAGTGAAGGGCTGGAGTCTAGTCTGTCAATCAGATCATAGCCAATAAGGCCTCTGTATGGGCATGGCCTTCTCCTGAGGATTCTGGGAAATCTGGTTTCCCCTCCTTGGAGCCTGGAGAGACTCTCAGCTCCCTCCCTGGGAGCCATTGCAGCTGACAAGACACATGGAACTAGGCTAGTGCCCTGAGCTGGAGAAGCCACATGGATGTACCCTGATGCAACCAGACCTCTGAAGCCGGAGAAGCCGCGTAGAGACCCCTGCCTGTGCTGAGACGTTTACAATGCCTCTGGATCCAAAGACTTTCTACCCACTGGCCTGTGATTGTCCTGCATTTGGTGTCATTGCATGTGTTTCATGAGTCTGAAGAGGACTTTATAGATCGGTATCGGACATATGGGCTAATATCAGACTTATGGGCTTGGCCTGGACTGGGTTGGGATGCTTTCTTAATGTACAATTACCCATTATATAAAACGCTCTCTTGTACACATGTGAATTTCTATGGATTTGTTTCTCTAATCTACCCGGACTCACCTATCTTACTTGCAGAAAGTTAAAAAAAATGATGAAATTCAAAGACTACAGTATGAATTACACATCGATGTAAAGAAAATAACAGTTTTAATAACTGCACCCATAGACGAAATGATTAATGAAGAAAAGACTGCAGTGTTCATGGATTTCCTTTAACATGGATCCACAATCAATGTTTATGGAAGCAGCAGTAAAGACTCCAATGGGCTCTCTGCTCCTCCTCGTGCGACAGGCAGCTGCCCCTTCCCATTCCTGTGCAGTCCCAGCCGCATCCCCATGACATGATGGTGAAGGTCGGAGTGAACGGATTTGGCCGCATTGGGCGCTTGGTAACCAGAGCTGCTTTCCACTCTGGCAAAGTGGGGATTGTTGCCATCAATGACCCCTTAATTAATCTGAACTACATGATCTACATGTTCCAGTATGATTCCACCCACGGCAAGTTCAATAGCACAATCAAGGCTGAGAACGGGAAGCTTATCGTCAATGGGAAGGCCATCTCCATCTTCCAGGAGCGAGATCCCTCCAACATCAAGGGGGGTGAAGCCAGTGCTGAGTATGTCGGATTGTCCACGGTGTCTTCACAACCCTAGAGAAGGCTGGGGCTCACTTGAAGGGCGGTGCCAAAGGGGTGATGATCTCTGTCCCTTCTTCCAATGTTCCCATGTTTGTGATGGGCGTGAACCATGAGAAGTATGACAACTCCCTCAAGATTGTCAGCCATGCCTCCTGCACCACCAACTGCTTAGGCCCCCTGGCCAAGGTCATCCATGACAGTTTTGGCATTGTGGAGGGACTAAATGGCTACAGTCCATGCCATCACTGCCACCCAGAAGACCGTGGACGGGCCCTCTGGAAAACTCTGGGGAGTCGGCTGTGGGGCTGCCCAGAACATCATCCCACATCTACTGGTACTGCCAAGGTTGTGGGCAAGGTTATCCCGGAGCTGAATGGGAAACTCACTGGCATAGCCTTCCGTGTCCCCACCCCCACAATGTGTCCGTAATGGATCTCACCTGCCGTCTGGAGAAAGCTGCCATCCAGAAGGTGGTGAAGCAGGCAACCGATGGTCCCTAAAGGGCATCCTGGGCTACACTGAGGACCAGGTTATCTCCTGTGACTTCAACAGTGACCCCCACTCTTCCACCTCTGATAGCTGGCATTGTCCTCAGTGACCACTTTGTCAAGCTTGTTTCCTAGTATGACAATGAATTTGGCTACAGTAACAGAGTGGTGGACCTCATGGTCCACATGGCCTCCAAGGAGTCAGAGCCCCCTGGACCACCAGCCCCAACAATAGCACTAGAGGAAGAGAGACCCTCAGCTGCTGGTGATTCTTTGCCCCCAACTCAATCCCCCAACACACTGAAAATATTCCATCCAGACCCCCTGAAGGAATGGGAGGGGTTTAGAGGGCCCAACCTTGTCATGTACCATCAATAAAGTACACTATACCCAGAAAAAACAAAAAGAAAATAAACCCAATGTATTGCACTGGGGAAATCTGTTGCCAAGGGCCTCTCTTAAAGTGTTAAAAAGCATAGATGTCATTTTGAGGACTGAGATGTTCCTAACCTAAGTTAGGTATTAACTTAGGTTCCTAAGTTATGGTATTTCCATCACCCCATATGCTTGTGGAAGCTGGATAATGAATAAGAAATAACAAGAACAATTTGATGCATTTGAATTATGGTTTTGGAAAAGAATATTGAAAGTACCATGACAGAAGAACAAACAAATCTAACTTAGACAAAATACAACCAGAACGCTACTTAGAAGCAAGGATGGTGATAATTCACTTCATATATTTTGGATATGTTATCAAGGCAGAACAGTCCCTGGAAAAAAGACATTCCACTTGCTAAAGTAGAAGAAGATCTCAGTGAGATGGATCGGCACAGTGGCTCTAACGAAGGACTCTTGTAAGGATGTCACAAGACTGGGCGGTATTTTGTTCTGTTTTAACATAGGATCACTATGAGTTGGAGTTGATTTAATGACACCTAACAATAACAATGACACCCCCAGAAGAGCACACTGATTTTTCTTGAAAGAAGTGTATTTAGTCAGGACACTTTATAGAAGTGACCTAAAAAACTCACTGTCACGGAGTCAATTATGACTCATGGCAACCTATTTAGAAGTGAGCTTGGTCAAATTTTTTTCCTCTAGTTTGGACATGTCACCAGGAGGGACGGACCAGTCCCTCGACATCGTGCTTGGAAAAGCAGTGAGTCAGAGAAACAGAGGAAGAGCCTCCGGGAGATGAACTGACCCAATGATCACAACGATGAACTCCAGTAATAATTGCAGGTATGGTGCCGGCAGCACCAGCCAATGCTTCCTTTTGTTGCGCATAGTGTTGCCATAGGTCGTCACTTACTGGATAGCACCTAACACAAAAACATGCTCAACAAAAACAAAGTTTGTTTTAATTTTCAAAAATTATAAAACACCCTGCCCAGTAAATTTTTGCTCAACTGAATCAGCCAAATCTAGAAGATGATTTGAGTCGTTCTAATGAGGGGCATCAGGCAATGCTTCATGAAGAAAAAAGTAATTGAGCTGGGCAAAAATAATCTTAATAGTTCAGACCCGTGAAACTTCTACATCCCTGATTTTTAACGTTAGCTGCACGTGGAACCATGAAATCTAAAGCAAACTCTCACCCCCGGATGCCATAAGTTAACAGGCGTTGGGTGCTGAAGTAGCAGAAACTTGCAGAAATGGCTGCATTGCTATGTGCGGGGTTGAGGACAGTTCCCTTGTAGTTATGGACTGTATATGATATTGAAGGTAGGAGAAGAAAGTTGTTAACATGATGGAGTTAATTTTATTTTGAGATTGTTCTGTGCTAGCTCCCTTTTGTTTTCCAATGTCCCTGAGATGTTCCTTTACCCTCATATTTTCTTCTTTGAAGTGGTATCTTGAGTTGGTTTAGACTATATCAAATGCAACAGTTATCAGATATGACATATTTCATTAGTGATTAAAAGAGATTCTCATCTGAAAATTTTTAATTCAGGAAGAAAAATGCTATTATGTATATCAAATTATAGCTAAACATTTAAAAAACCTTTTTATTCTGACGTGGATGAAGGTTTACAGAGGAAATAAATTTCCCCAAGTTGAACTTTAATATCTAAAAATTAATTAATTGGTCATATTGCTAATTTTCTTCCTGAACTACCATTTAGAAAGCCAAACTCACTTCCATGAGTTGATTCTGAGTCACGGTTGACCCTATAGGATAGGGTAAACATATCCATGCATATAGTAGAGCACAGAGAAAGCAAAGCCCCGGTGCGTGACCGAGACTAGAACTCTTTACAGGAGTAGAAAGCCTCATCTTTCCCCCATGGAGTGGCTGGTGATTCCAAACTGCTGACTGTGTGGTTAGCAGCGCAACATGTAATCACAACACCACCAGGACTCCTCTAAGCAGAAAGCAGCCTAAATGAAGTCATTACACGTATATAGCTGAGTAATAATTAACTTGGGTAAAGGAGAAGGCATTATATAATAAAAGGGAGGTGCCCACCCAAATTATGAAGGCACAGAGTACAAGAGTTAACAGCAATAGAGATAAATACTATATTTTCAATCTTTTAATAACAATCTATCAGTTGATCCACAGATACGTAAGCTAAACATATATAGGAAGAAGATTGGGACTACATACATAATAGAGTTTTTACAGACTATTTCTCCATACATATTTACTTATACTGCACATATGTAATAGAGCACAGAGGGAGCAAAGTTATGAAAACATCTTTGCCATTGGGCCTGGGTGGAGGGGGATAGGACCATAGTCTCAAGGTCCTGCAGCTCACTTGGCATAACATAGCCTAAAAAGACTGTGTTTTAAATCCTACGTCAGTAATTAGTAATTAAGTCCTTACAAACAAATGAATGGTCATCTCAGGTACAACTATTGGGATCTCGCAGTCAGGAGAAAACATTCAATAAAACGGAAGACACTTGGAAACAATTGGCCCAATGGACAAATGGACCATGTGAACCTCAGCCTCCACAAGCCTGAGACAAGAATCAGAATAGGGCCCCCACCACTACTGACTGCTCTGAAAGGGATCTTAGAATGTCCTAGGAAGAATGGTAGAAAAATGTGAGACAAAACTCAAAATCACACAAAGGACAAGATGTATTCGTTGAATAGAGGCTGGGGATTTCCTTACAGCTGTGGCTCAATCATTGTTCAGATTGGAACTGAGCTCACCACCACGGTTCAATTTTCAGCCAAAACACAGGGAGGTCTACAACATGAACAATAACACAAAGTAGATATGCATTCCTCATTCCATTGAATAATAAACCATTTGAGATCCAAAGGGCAGCATTTGCTCCAAGACACAGTCTGAAGCCAGAAAGGGCTGGGGAGGAAAGATGAATGAAAAGAGAAGCACAGGGAAGAAGTAGAATAAGGAACATTACACTGTAGGGACTGCAAGCAATAGCATGAAACAAAATGTGTATGAATCATTCAATGAAAAACCAATGCGCTCTTTTGCTCTGTAAACTTTCAACCATCGTTCTCACACACGTGAACACAAAGTTAAAGAAAAAAATGTTTATATATATATATATATAT